TCTTTTACAACATGACTAATATGGAAATATGTTTTACATGATTGCACATATATAACCTATATCAAATTTCTTACTGTCTTGGGGGGGGAGGTGAGAGAATGAAAGAGAAAACTTGGAACTCAAAGATTTTTTAAATAAATGTTAAAAATTGTCTTTAAATCTAATTGTGGGAAAATAAAATATTATTTAAAAAATAAAATAAAATCACATCATCTTTTGAGGCTCCCTCATTACATTGCTGACCCCACACTGAACTTGCAATCAAAAACTCAGATCTCAGATCTTTTTTCCAATAAACAGCTATCTAATCATTCCTTCCCAGTCCTGTACTTGAGAAGATAATTTTTGAACCTAAGCATAAGAATTTATAAATCAAAAATCAATTAACAAACATTTATTAAATGTCTATTATGTGCAATACACCGTGCTGGGCTCTGGGAAAACAAAAGTAAAAATGAAATAATTCCTGACCTCAGGGAGCCTACGTGCTCCAATAGTACATGTATACATGTATTCATGGATATGAATATATCCAAAACTTACACAAAGTCAATACAAAGTCATTTCAGGGGGAGATGCTAGTTTCTGGGGAGTCAGTAAAGTCCTTATATAGGAGGTAGTGCTTAAACATGAGCTATGAAGGAAGCATGGGACTTTAAGAGTGCATTCCAAACATAGGGGAAAACCATGCAAAAGCACGGTCACTGGAGAAGGAGGGTTGTGTGTGAAGAACAGCAAAAAGGCCAGTTTGTCTGGACTGGAGAGTTTGTAGAAACTAGTATTATGTAATAAAGCTAGGCTGGAGCCACGTTATGGTAGACTTTAAATGCCAATCAAGGGAGTTTGTACTTGATCCCTGAGGTAAAAGGAAGTTATTGGAGCTTGTTGATAAGAGAAATAATATGGTTGGACATGAGCTTGAGAAATTGTATACTTTTAAAAGTATTTTAGAAGAAACTCCCAGTACATGCAACTGTCAGGTGTTCTTTTTTCCCAGGGTGAATTTTAAGATCCTTAGGGACTAAAGAGCACTAGAACAAGAGGTGCTGTGTAGTAAGAAGGCCAAAACTCAAATTCTTGTTCTGCTACTATCATTGTAACCTTGAGAAAGTCACTCCCTTCCATGGGCTCAGTTTCCTCATTTGAAGATGAGAAGGTTGGATGAAATTATCTCTAAGGTTCCCTGCTAGCTCTAAAGCCTATGTTCTAATGGCCTCATCACATCAATGTGCCTTAGACTAAGTAGGCACTTCATGAATACTTGAAGTCACAGAATGTTAGAGCTAGAAAGGCTCTTAGTAACCAGTTGTTAATGATGCTGATGATGAAGAATAAAGCAGGAAGAGTACACATAATTGTTAAACAGGAAGGAAGGAAGGAAGGAAGGAAGGAAGGAAGGAAGGAAGGAAGGAAGGAAGGAAGGAAGGAAGGAAGGAAGGAAGAAGGAAGGAAGGAAGGAAGGAAGGAAGGAAGGAAGGGAGGGTCAACCAGAACAAACCAGCCTCTAACCTGTGGATGGCCAGAGTCAAACAGAGCAGGCTAGAGATAGGAGAGTCAGGAATCAAACAGAAATTTAATTTCAAAGTGATGGAAATGGCTTGCAAGCAAAGGGGAATTAGATACATGTGCCCTTAGAGAGGGGACTTGCTTTAGTGTAACTGAACCTTGATTTATGTATCTGTGGCTAGCATAATGCAAAAACAGTAGTGAGGCATAACAACAACAGTGAGGCAAAGTTGTCTAGTGACAAAAAGTCCGTTCATAGCAGGGCTTCACATGTGTTGGAAGATGCTTGAGCCCAGGGACCATCAGTTCATCTAGAGGGTGAGCACAAAGGATTGTTGTTATGCCAACCTCAGAGCACAGCTTACTTACTGGACCTAAACTCTAGAAAACAGGGTGTCTCCTAAAAGTATTTTTTAAAATTTATTTTAAACTTAAGTGCAAAATAAGAAAAGAAAAAAATGCAATGTACACAGCAGAATATAAGAGAGGATTCAATATAAAGTAATAAATTTCCATTTCAAGAAAACATTGTTTCCAAAGCTGTCCAGCTTTTCTTTGACTCCTTGTAGGTTTCCTTTTGTTCTCTACTGTGCACTTTTTACTTTATTTCCCACTTCTCCCCTCCAAAGAAGGCTACAGTTGTGTGGATATATTTGTATATACACACATACATACACATATATACATAGATATCTATAAACATACACATATATACATAGATATCTATAAACATACACATTTACACATATGTGTAAGATTGTACTATGCTTGTCATCTGTTTCTTTGAAGGTAGATGGCATCTTCTTTCGTAAGTCCAAGACTTCCTATGTTTTTCTAAATCAACCAATTCATCATTTCTTATACCACAGGAATATTCCAACCAATCACATTCTATCTGAGAGATTGTCTACTAAAGTTTTTTTTTTCCGATTTTCTACATTCCTTCTAGTCTTGGCTGCATAGGTTTTATTCATACAAGAAAATTTTATTTTGAAATAGTCAAAATTATTCATTTAACACTTCAACAATGCTCTCACCTTATAATATGGTTTAAGGCAGGGGTGGGGAAGCTGCTGCCTCGAGGCCATATGTGGCCCTCTATGTCCTCAAATGCAGCCCTTTGACAGAAACCAAACTTCACAGAACAAATCCCCTTAACAAAAGGATTTGCTCTGTAAAACTTGGACTCAATCAGAAAGCCGAACCCAAGGACCTAGAAGGCCACATGTGACCTCAAGGCAGTAGCTTCCCTACCCCTGCCTTAAACCATATTATAAGGCATCTTCTTCTAAATGAATTTTGTTATTATTTTTTCTAATTCAGTAAGATAGTTTAATAGTAATTGAATTGGAAGGACATTACAGAAATAGTTATATAAAATTGTCATCTTTTTATTATGTTGGCTTTACCTACCCATGAACAATATTACTTCAATTATTTAGATCTAACTTTAGTTGTATAAAAAGTGCTTTATATTTATATTCGTATACTTCCTGTGTCTGTTTTGGCAAGTATACTCTCAGGTATTTTATATTGTCTAGCTATTTTCAATGGACTCTAAAACAATATTGAATAATATGGCTGACATACAGTGTAGTTTCCCTATTTTTCTCTTTATTAAATCTATTTTAGCTTTAACTTTGTCTGAAATCATATAATAATTTTTTCATGTAATAAATTCTACTTCTGACCTTTCTTTTATGTTTATGTATATCTCTAATTTTTATAGCATTTCCTGAAAGCAACATATCGTTGAATTCAAATTTTTAATTGATCAGTTTCCTTTTTATGGGTAAATTCATCCCATTCACATTCTAAGCTATAATTACTTGTATATTTTCCTCCTTCCTTGCCTTTTTTAGTGTCCCCCTGGCTTACCATCTCCTGGGCACATAATAAGAACTTAATAATTGATGAGGGACACAAATAAAAAAGCCAAAAAACAATTCCTGCCCTCAATGAGATTACATTCTAAATAGGATAGGCAATGCATATAGGGAAGCAGTCTAACAAGGAGAGGCATTTTAGATTGGAAAGTTACAGGAATAATTAACAGAGCCATAGGGGAGTAGATTGGCACACCTTCCAGTAACAGTGGTAGTACTGATTGGATTAATGGTTCCAGGAATCATAATCTTTTCTCCATATTAGATCATGATGGATCATAGATTTAGAGGTGGAAGAGACCACCTCATACAACCCCTTCATTTTACAGATCCCTTTGCACAGTCTCCCCTCCTCCCCCTTCCCGTCCCTAACTGGAATACTCTCCCTTATCAGCTATACTTTTTGGAATTCCTTACTCGCTTCAAGCTCTTACAAGAAGCCTTTACTGCTGTCCCAAGTTGTTAGCTTTCTCCTTTCTTGAAATCAGTTTTTATTTATTATGTGTGTATGTACGTATGTATTTGCTTACCTATATACAAGTTGGACTCTCCACCCCAAAAGAATGTAAGCTCTTCAAGGGCAGTCTCCTTTTTGTCTTTATTACTAGAGCCTAGCATAGTCCCCTACACACAACAGGTTTTAATAAATGCTCGATAATCTTAGAAAAACATGGAAACGTTGCACTTTGGGGTGCTGGGAATCCCAAAATGCAAGGGTACAGGGCAGGTCTGCCTGAAAGAATTCGACCACTCAAGCCTTCTTTCTGAGTAGTCAGGTTTTATTATAACACCAGTTAGGCAGGCAAGATTTCTAGTAAATCTGCCCTATTGTGATGCCAACAGAAGTGGGCAAGTGAGTCTGTGCAATTTAATTGGGGTAAGACTGATACTTATATACAAGAAAAGTGAGAAGATCTGGATGGGATTAAGGAGTGGCAAGTAGCCTGGGGTGGGCCAGGTGCAGACAATGAAAGGAATTAAGTGGTATAGGGCCACAATGAAAGGACAGTTAAAAGGATTATTGAGTATCATCTAGGTAGACTGAGATGGGTTCGATGCCTTAGGCAAAACACCAGGGACTGGGTTGCTGAAATTTGTGGGAAAGTTCAGGGGCTTTTAGGGGTCCAGGTCCCAAAGACATGGTCTTTTCCTTTTAGGGGTCCCATTGGCCCATCAGAAAGACTTGCATGAAATAATGAAGAGCAAAATGAACAGAACCAAGAGAATGCTGTATACAATAACAGCAATATTCTTTTAAGAACACCTTTGAGCAAACAAGTAATTTTGACTATTAGAAATACCCAAATTAACTACAAAGGACATATAAAGGAAGATGCTATCTGCATCCAGAGAAAGAACTGATAGATGTATAGAAGGATTTTACTTTATACACACACACACACACACACACACACATATATATATTTGTGCCTAATGGCAAGCATCTGGGGGAGAGGGAAGAGGGAAAAAAAGGGAAAAAAAGAAATTTACATAACTTTATTATATATTTAAAAGGGATAGCAAGTTGTACATAATGTGCAGTTTGATGTGTAATCATCTTTTTTTAATTATACTGTTATGGAAATGCTTTAGTTCAAAACAAAAACAAATTTTAAATAAAATAAATGCTTGTGGAATTGAACTGATTCCAAAGCTCGTGTGCTTTTCCTTTATATTACATTGCCTCTAAATTTCATTTCCCTCTCACCCCAGCTCTTAGCACAGTGCTCTGCACACAACAGGTGCTTTAAAAAAGTTTGTTGAATTAATGAATAAATGGTATTCAATGAACGAAGAGACTGGTTTATGTTGGGGGAGAAATTGAGAAAAATTAAAAATCTTTTTTTTTAAGCAGAAAAATACAGGAGTGATTTTGCCTCATTCCTCCTCTCGCCCCGCCCCCACTTCTCTTTGCCACTTACGTCTCTCTAACCATGAAAACCCCAACTATTTCCAGTACGGTGTATCCTGGGTCCCATCAACATACTCCAGTATAGAAGGGTACTCGGACGGTCCTAGCTTATAGACCAGGCAAATCTAGTAGAGAACTAGCTTCCCCATCCAAAAGGCTTACCAGACAACTATAGAAATGCTAAACAGTAACAGATCTCAGAGCGGGAAAACAATGTGGCATTAATTGTTTGTGTTCTTCAAGGTCCCTGCCTGAGACCATGCCCCCTCCCTACTCCTCCTTCCAGCCTCTCCCGGCTGCTGGCTTCCTTTTAAACTCGACTCTCCCAGATGCCAAGAAAAGGTGAATGAGGAAGGGGGTGGGGGAGAGCAAACTATTACTCCCCCTAAGAAACTAGGATCCGCCAGCTAATAGAAGCGGAGAGGAGGGAGGGCAGACATGGAGAGAAAGAAGAAAGTGGGGTCCCATTGGCTGGAAGGGGGTGTGACGAAGGGAAGGGGGCGGAGATTTCCCGGAGGGGTGCGGGAGGTGGGGGGAAAGAACGAGGAGGAGTGGGAGGGGAAAGCAACCCCTGTTCAGTTTCTGGTGCTGTGCTTCAGGGCCCCCTGAGAGTGGGACAGGATCCCAGAGACCGAGGTACTAGGCCGGCCTCTTTCCTTGCTCTGTTGGCTGGCGGGAGGAATTGATCGCCAGCTGGACGCCCCCTCCCCCTCTTCTGCCTCGCTGCCACCCCTCCTGCGGCTGGAATCCAGCTCTTGCATTTCAACTGTTGGGTTTAGCTCTTGGGGACTTTTTTGTGTTTGTATATTTCTTCCTCATTTTCCTTTGTTACTCCGAAAACCCTTCCAGACTGGAGGGAGGGACGACTCGGTTCTCATGGAAGGCAGCTGCCGCTAAGTACCCCCTCCTCAAATCTGAAAGTACTCGAGGAAAAAAAAAAAGGCTCCCCCTACTCCCCGCTCCGATCCGTTGCCTGCTTTCTCTCCGCTGTAGCCAGTTGCTACAGCTCGGGCTTCATTGATGCTAAACGGTGAGTAGCAGGGGGTGGGCATTGGGGTGAAGGGGAAAGCGCCGCAAGTCACCTATTTGCAGAAAACCTGAAGGGAGTTACAAGGATTAAAGATTAAACCCGCGATTCTCCTGGGTGTCCCTCTTTCTCCTTTCTCCCCCCCCCCAAAATCTGGGCCAAGTTTTCTGGGCGCACGGGAAGGAACAGAAATACACCCAGCAAGACGACCCCTGTTTGCCCCACCAGCCCTTGAGATTGGGGGAGACCTCTGGCTTCCCTGAGATCTATGAGAGGGTCTGAGCCCACCTCTGCCTAAAACGTGAGCCCGAGTGGAAGGTCTACGACCTAAGCAGAGTCCCAGCTTTGTTTCCCAGCTTCCCTCCCCAGTCCCCTTCCCCCTGCCTTTGTGCTCTCCAACTGTCCTTTGTTGTGGTTGTCGGGAGAGTTAAATCCAAGCATGGGCTGGGATTCTTCCTAGAGGGAGCTCAAGTTCTTGGCAAGAAACTTTGCTGGCAATTTAAAATATGTACGGTATACATATGTTGCTGTAGGATAGGCTCTAGCTCCTCTCTTTGTTGGAACACCTTTGCTACCTTGCTTCCGGTTTGGAATATCTAGAGAAGATGCCCACCTACGATCTTTGGAGCTTCTTGGACGAGTATGGCATTTCAGTAGTTTGCCTCAAGCAGATTAAGGATAGTTTCTGTGTTGTCTTCTGGATGGAGCCCCCAGTTTAGGACCCAGGGCCAAAGTAATTTTTTCCTGGCTTCTTTGCTCCCCCTGAGATCATTCATTTCAAATCTGTGAGAGTCACCAAGTTCCTTACAGATGAAGTTTTGTTTTGTTTTAACTTAGAAGGCAGTGTGAGAACTAGGGTTGTCTTTTTAATAAGGAAGTGGCAGCTTTCTTAGTAGAACCGTAAAAACGGCTGGAATAAAAGTAGGAAGAGCATTTATATATCATCTTGAGGTTTGCAAAGCCTTTTAAATATGTTGTCTCATTTGATATTCCCTATACTGTGGTGGGTGCTATTATCCTCATTTTACAAGTGAAGAAATTGAGGCTAACTGAGGATTAGTGACTTGCCCAGTCACAATTAATGGCTGTGTAAACCTGAATTTGAACTTAGGCCTTTCTGTTTCCAAGTCCAATGCCCTATCCACTCACTGTCCCACCTACCTGACACTTGCAAGACCGTGGTTAAAAACCAACAGATTTCCATTCTTCTGAGAATTGCTGGCTGGGTGGCTAGTGAACAGGATATTTCCTTAGGTTCCTACCAGATCTTGGATTAATGATTTCAAAAAGGTTTTGTTTTAAAGCTAGAATGAGGGAACGGTGTCGGTGTCCCTACTCCATTCTTCTTCTCCCTCTCCCCCTTCCCAATCTACTTCGTGGAAAATTAAGCAAACTGTAATGGAAGGATGGAGCAGCACTAGATCCTGCCCAGAAACCCAGACTAAAGAAGATCAGCCTTTACCAGCTTCCCTTCCTTCTCTTCTTGGCTCACCTTCTTCATGACATCATCCCCTCTTGCTCTGCCTCGGGAAGCTGAGACACTCAAAATCTCCAGGATCCTAACAGGCAAGCCCCTCCAAGCCATAGGTAGTTGGGGATTCAATAGAAGAAAGCCTGCTGGGAAAGAAATCAACTCTGTTGTAATCATGATCTTTTGGTCTCATTTCTGGAGTTCTTAGCCTCATTTCCCTCTGAGGGTTTGGACTCTCAAGGGTTAACTTCTTAAACTTCTCAGTTCTTAAAATGACCAAGGGAACCAGCTCCCTGTATGTCAGAATGAGGTAACTCATCTTGTGTTGTATAAAACATCTGAGGCCCTCTACTTCCTGTTCTCTGGGCCTGGAAGACAAAGTGTTCATCTATCCCTTTGTTCCTGGACAATAGTTTCCATTCAATTAAATTCAGAAAACATTAAGCACCCACTGAATGCAGAGGAGGAGATACAATGTGGGAGGGGAGACCAGACCCTGGGCCCTTCCCTCTAGGAATCTACCACCTAGGAGTTAGGGTGGAGGAAAATACAGACCCTGCCTGCCCTGAAGGAATTGACAGGTGAATATACTGGTTAGGACAATACTGGTTTGAATGTGTTAGGGATCAAAGATTGAAACTGATGTAGTGCACTAACAAAAAAGTGAGCCTTTCAGGTGTGGAATCCCAGAAGGCTTTCTAGAGACACCTGAGCAGGATCCCGAATGAAGAGATATAGATGACTACCAAACTCTTCTCAATCCCCCAAATTTCAGCCTTAAGGGGAACAACTTACCTCTAAACTATAAGGGTGGTCTGAAGAACTCTGGGGCCACTGAGTCTGTAGATTCTATCCCCACTAGGAAACAGTAACAAACCACTATCCACGCTCCAAGGGAGTGTATGGAGAAGAAAACAAGATCTCCACCAACAAGTTGGAAGGCTCTTACAGATGATAGGATCTGGCTCACAAAGTAGGCAATGGAAAAAAATAATAAAAAAAAGTAGGCAGTGGAGAAGGAAGTGGTAAAGGACTTAAGTTCCCAGAGGTCTTTTTTCCAAATGATACGTCAGTTCTACTTTCTTTCTCTCACTGTCCTATTGAGCTTACCTTTGCTATCTCTTTAAAGATACGTGCATCCAGAGTCCCAACGTCTTAATCCTTGAAGGTTTCTTATTATTTGTGTGTCCTTGGGCAAGCAACTTAACCTCCCTTGGGCCTCAAGGAGTCCCCATTTCTTCATCTATAAAATGAGGAGAGTTGAACTGTGTGGTCTGTGGCGTCCCTTCTATCTCTAATAGAGGTTCCCAAACTTATTTGGCCTACCACCTCCTTTTTAAAAAAATTACTCAGCACCCCCCTGGAAATCTACTTTCTTTAACCCTTTAACAGTTTTTTTTTTAAATTTTCATCATTTCAAAAAAATACCACCCCTCTGGATCGTTCCAGCACCCACTCTGGGAACCTATGCCTAAAACTATAAGGTTTCTGTTTCCTCCAGTTGACTAACCTGCCTCCACTTCTATTAGGGAGAGAAGAATTTGGGTCAGTGTTAGACACCAGTTAATAAAGTGTAGTTATTACCAAAAGGCATCCTTTTGGTTATAAGTTTTATGTTGACCTCATTTCAGTAAGAACCCTGAGCAGTGTTATAGCAAGATGTATCTATTAGGGGCAACTAGGTGGCACAGTGGATAGAGCACGGCCCTGGATTCAAGAGGACTTGAGTTCAAATCAGGCCTCAGACACATAACACTTAACTAGCTGTGTGACCCTGGGCAAGTCATTTAACCCCTAGCCAAAAAAAAAGAAGATGTATCTATTGTTATAAGGTTTCTAATGAAAGCTTCCCCTCACTTCTGCCAAGGATAGATACAGAAAGATGAAATAAAATCAACAACCTCTCCTCATAAAGCAGGTGCTAGCAGGCCACTCTTTTTCCTAGAATATCCCCCTCAATCATTCCACCAAGAAGTATTTATGTACCAGATACTCTGCTAGGCTGGAATTAGTGGGATAAAAACAAACCAAAAAACCCTAGAGCTTTTTATCTGATCCTTGTTTGTCTAATATAATACACTGGCTTTTCTATGTGTGCCATAATGGTCAAATATTAGCTCCTTAAGGGCAGGGATTATTTTATTTTGTTGTCTTAGCCCAGTGCCTGGCTAGGCAATATGACCTAGCAAATAGGGGGCTAGTCTTGGAGTCACAAAGAGCTGGGTTCAAGTCCTATGTCTGATATGTGACCATGGGACAGTTAATTCAGTGCCCCAGCAAATTCTCAAAAACTAAGTCAAAGACCAATTTCCTATCTATGGTCAAGGGAGTTTCCACATTAGAAGTTTTGTTCATTGAAATCAGAGGTCTAAATTTTGGCACCCTTTTCCCCTCCAAAAACAAAAGAAACAATCCTACAGTGTCTGGCACATAGGATCTGAGATTTAGAGCTGGAAGGAACGTTAGAGAACAGTGAGTACACACACACACACACACACACACACACACACACAATCTCTCATTTTATAGATGAAGAAACTGAGGCACAGAGAGATTAAGTGACTTGACCTGGGTCACAGCTGGTAAGTATCTGAAGTAGAATTTGAATCCAGGTCTTCCTCACTCCAACCACAAAGCCACTGGGTCATCATTGTCGTGGTGATATCATTTCAGGGGAGTCCCACTCTTGGCAAAGATACTGGAATTTCCTTCTCCAGGTCATTTCACAGATGAGGAAACTGAGGCAAACAAGGTTAAGTGACTTGTCCAGGGTCACGAAGCTAGTAAATGTCTGAGGCCAGATTTGAACTCAGGAAGATGAGATCCTAACCCCAGGCATGGCACTCTATCCACTGCCACACTTAGCTGCCCAAATTACACCTAGCAGAGGATGCCTCTACATATCAGACACTTAACAAATGCTTATTGAACTAAATTGAATTGCCTCCCCAGATGGAAATTTGTAGCTTCTCCACCTTTCCTCACTTCTAAGGGGTACCCTTTCCTCTTCCTTTGTCTCCCTGTATGAAATATCTGTCCCATCCGTTAGGGAGAGTGAAGAAATGCTTACCAGGTGTCCATGGGGACCTGTGGAAAGAAGTTAATACAAGTCAAAATCAAGAGATGGTCATGAGTTAATCCAAACAGCTATGACTTCACTCTCATCATGCATACTCCCCCAGTGCCCCGATGTCTAATCCTGGATTAGTCTATGACCTGAAATGGGTTCTCTAACCAGCGCTGGTTTTCTTTTTTATCCTCATCTGGCTGGCAGTGTTTCTATACAATCCTTCCTGGAAGCATTGGGATATCTTGACGGAAAGCTCTCATTAGGGGTCCCTGGAAGTCCTTTAATTCTGATTTGTTACGGATAAACGTGCTTAAGTGATCAATCAGTGACTGGAGTATTTCCTCATAACAATCTTGAAAGGTGGATAATGTGAGTATTATTTCCATTTTGTGGATGAAACTGAGAAGCCCAGAGAGGTGATCTAACTTGCTCACAGTAATAGTTTTTTATTTGGCCATGGTCATATGGCTAGTTTAAGAGCTCAGCCTTTCTCATATGGCTAGTTTCAGGGCCAAGACTTAGACCCAGGTCTTCTGACCAAGGCCAATATAAACAGTGCAGGGAAAAACTTCCTGGCTTCCTTCAAGTCCCAGCTAAAGCCTCCCTTAAAGCCTTACTTTCTACAGGAAGCCTTTCCTGATCCCCCTTCATGCTAGTGCCTTCCCTCTGTGATTATTTACAATTTATCCTGTACATGTCTTGTTTATACATAGTTGTCCAGTATCTTCCCACCTAGGGGAGGGTAAGTGGCTCAGTGAGTAGAATTCTGGCCTGGAGGCAGGATGACCCGAGTTCAAATACAGCTTCACACACTTAGAAGTAGTATGACCCTTGGGAAGTCATTTAACAGCTGCCTTCCTCAGTTTCTTCAACTGTATAATAAAAATATAGCAATTGCCTCCTCCCCGGGTTGGTATTAGAATGAAATGAGATAACATTTGTAAAACACCTAGCACACAGTAGGCTCTGAATAAATACTTGTTTCCTTTTCCCCTCATTAAACTGTGAGTTCCTTGGGAGTTCTTTGTAGCCCCAGAACTTACCAGTGTCTGACATATAATAGACTTGTAATTAATGCTTGTTGTCCAACTGACTAATGGTAAGAGTTATCCAGAAGTGGAAATGGGCTCTTTTGGGAAGGTGTGGGTTCTCCTACCCTGGAGGTCTTTGGGCAAAGGCTCAGTGTCTGCTTTGGGGTATTTCACAGATGGGGTTCTTTCCAGTTATGAGTTGGGCTAGATCAAGGCTTCTTAACTTTTGTGGGTTGTGAACCCTTTGACAGTTTGGTGAATCCTATAGACCTCTCAGAATATTATTTGTTGCCTATATTCACAATGAAAGAAATGGTAAATTGCAGCTAGAGGTTAGTGAAAAGATTTTTTTCCCCATCCAAATTCATGGACCCCTTGAAATCTATACACAGATCTGTCCATAAACCCCATGTTAAGAACCCTAGTCTCTTTTTTATTCCACACTCCATATTCTTCTATTATACCACTTGCTCTAACAAAGGCCATCCATCAAGTCTGTAGTTCAGTCATTTTCAAGCCTGTCTTATTCTTTGTGACTCCATCTGGAGTTTTCTTGGCAAAGATACTGGAGTGGTTTGCCATTTCCTTCTCCAGCTCATTTTACAGATGAGGAAATTGAGACCAAGAAGGTTAAGTAACTTGCAGTGTCTGAGGCCAGATTTGAACTCAGGTCCTCCTGACTCTAGGGTCAGCACTCTATCCACTGCACCACCTAGCTGCCCCGGATCCATCGAGTCAGATAGCTTCAACATCCTTTTCTAACCAACCTTTGGCTGGACCAGCTAGCCAAGAGAACAATCTAATAATGATAATAACTAATATGTATATAGGTTTGCCATTGCTTTACCTATTTCTTACCTCCTTTGGTCCTGACTGGAGTTTCCACTGCTTCCCTCTGCCTGCCAAGGGTACCACTGAGTCCCAAGAAGTCTATGGTTCTATTTGTTGGCGCCGAGGTGCTCTTTAACTTCCAACTCTGACGTTATCTCATTCTCTCTTTCCAGGATGTGCCTGCGGCCTGGGACTGATCTACAACAACAGATCGTGCACAATGCCCCCCATCAGTTTCCAGGACCTTCCCCTCAACATCTACATGGTCATCTTTGGCACAGGCATCTTTGTCTTTGTGCTCAGCCTCATCTTCTGCTGCTACTTCATCAGGTGAGTGGAGAGAAGAATAGGAGAAGGCAGTTTCATTGGAGGGCTTGGGGAAGCCCCTCTTCAAGATTCAGGGACTCAGGCTCTGTGTATTCCCCTGATGCTGAGGCTTAGCCTGTTCTGTCACCTGTAGTTTCTTTGACCTCTCTTGCTCTGCTTACTTGGCCTGTTCACGTTATTTCAGGGGGTTCAGGAGGTCACGCCACAGCTGTTCTGACTCCTGGGTTATTATTCTAGGGGTACCAGACTCTGGCTTGTTGTGATGATGTTAATGACACCTTAAGAAATACCCTTCTCTATTTTCTCTCCTCCCATTGCCTCAGAGAGTGACAGGAGGCAGATGGGCATCAGTCACACCCACGGTACCTCCCGTGTACTCCTGGGAAATCCCTTCCCTTTCACCATTGGTCCAGGGGCTAGTTTTAGCAGGAAGATGTCTGGGGAGCATCTTGTTTATTCCTCCTTCTGAGCCCTTATTTTTGAGAGAAAAACTGAGCACACCACTTGTTTCCTATTGCTCTGGGAACCAGGAGAGCATGTGAGGTTGTCAGGACCCAGAGTCCCAGGAATCCCTTTTCATTGAACTGTAGGTTGGAGGGAGAGACCATACCTAGTTTCTCAGAGGGTCTTCTCCAGGAATGACCTGCAGGTGGGGATGGACATCAGAACAAAGCATGTGAGCTGCCTGCTGGGGTTGAAGCTAGTCTCTACTCAGATGCTCCAGAGAAGTCACGGGCACTGGGGAAGATAGGAGGGGCAGTAAGATGAGAACTGCAGAAGAAGAGACTCAGGACCCAGGGTAGCTAAGAAGTAGTGGACAAATGCAGATTTATAATTTGCAACCTGGGGTTGAATTCCAGTTCTGTTACTAGCTGACATTTTGTAAAATTATTTAATTTCCATATACCTATTTCTTCATCTCTATTGAGGGGTTTGGCCTAGGTGATTGCTAAAATCCCTTCTAGCCCTAAATTCTATGAATTTAGATTCCTAAATAGGCTTTTGGACACCTCAGATGGAAGAAGCTGCTGAGAAAGGCACATAAGTCCCTGACCTAACCTTCCCAAGAGAGAGGAAGTATCCTTGTGGCTTATAGTATCGGCCAGAGATCTGACATTACTTTTTTGCCATCCTCTTAACTTGTAACTTTTCACATGCATGTCCCTAAGCCTGAAATTTTCTAGTTTAGGGTTTCTACAGACAAGATCATGAAATCATAGAGATGGAAGGTACCTTGGAAATCATTTTGTCCAGCCCCTCTCAAAGTACAGAGGAAGAGAAAGGTCCAGAGAGGAAAAGTGGCTTGTCCTGGGTCACACAGCTAGTTAAGTACTCAAACCAGGACAACAATCCAGGTCAAGACAGTGGTTTCTTCTTTCCTCTTGTACTATTTATTTGATCCCAGTCATTTGGGAGAGTGAGACTGAAGAAGGAAAAATAAAGAATAACAAGTGGCTCTTTTTCTGTCCCAACCCACAGTTTGTCTCTGTAAAAAAGAGAGAACACCCCGCTCTGCTGCCTACCTCCTAACTATGAGCATTCTGAGGAAGAAAGATCATCTCAGGGAAGTCCCCAGAGAGAGAGACAAGCTAGAGAAATACCACAGATGATTTATTTATCATGGGGCCTAGTGGACTCTGTGAAAACCAATTCTGTTGATGCTTCTGCCTCCCACCCCCACCCTGAGCTGTAGCTAGTAGGGTAGACTAGAGAATGAAGCAACTGGCACAATATCCTGGAAAGAACATTAGCCCTGGGGAATCAAAGAATTTGTGTTATAGGCCTGGCTCTGACACTATCTAAAATGGGAGACCCTGGGAGTCATATTTCTGCCCTGGGCCTTGGTTTCAGTCTCTCAAATGAAGGGTTTAGACTAGAAGATTGCTAAGAGAAAGTGGTAGTGTGATATAAGGCTCTGAGTGCTGCATTTGGACTCAAGGCCCAAGTTTAAATCCTGTCTCTGACTACTTATCACCTCTGGTAATAAGTAATTAAGTGCAAGTCACTTGATCTTCTTGGGCCTTGGTTTCCTCAACTGTAAAATGAGGCAGTTGACCTATGACCGCCAAGGTTCCTTCTAGCTTTGGCTCTTTGATGCTGGACAGGCCAAATCCTATAATCCTTTTCTCTTTCCCATCTCCTTCCCAAACCCTCTCCCCTCATGAGGCAGTGGAATAGTTGGTTTGGGTGGAAGATGGGCTTGAAGGGCCCAGGAGTACCCAACAGTGCCTTAGGCAGGCCTATGACTGAGGGTTGGCATTAACAAGGCATAGAGGGGAGCCTGGGGGAACCATGTGTCACTGGCATTTGTCTTCACCATTTACTGCTTTGGCTAAATGTAAAAGAACAGCTGACTAGCCACAGGAAGCCAAAACCTGCCCAGGCCTCAGTGGCATTAATACCACCTGTCCCTGGAGCAGCAGCCTTCCCAAATGCTCATCCCTGTTCCCCTGACAGCATAGCTGCCATTGGTGTTGGGTGGTTCTGGGGTCTGTGTGTGAGAGAGACAGACAGACGTACAGAATGAAGAACAGAGAGAGGCAGAGAGAAGGGAGGGAGAGGGGGCGGAAGAAAAAGAAGGGAGGGAGGGAGGGAGTGGGGGAGAAACAGAGATGGAGAGATTGTGTCTGTGTATGACTGTGGTATTTTATGTGTCTCTTTGTATAAGTGTGGGAGAATGGTGGCTTGTGTATATGTATGTGTATGTGTGTGTATGAGAGAGTGAAAGAGAGTGGTACTTTATGTGTTTCTATGTCTATATATAGAAAGAGACCAGGCATAGAAGCCACTTCCTTTCCAGCTTCTCAGCTTCCTTCTCAGCCAAAATGGGACCATGACCGCCTACCCCCAAACCAGTAAGATCATCAACACACAAGAAGTCCTTCCCTGGTTCCCCTTCTTCCCTTTCTTTCTCTGGCTCATTCTTCTGGCTTCCCTGAGGGCCTGCCTGCCTCTGCTCCCCAAGCAGGATGAGGGGGACATCAAGGCAGGAAATGGCAGGAAGGGGACAATTATGGGGGGTGTGGGGCCGGCCTTATTGTCTCTGTGGGAGGAGAGGAGCCTGCTGACTGTATTTTTAAATGGTCCCATTGAAACCAGAGGGTATTTTTAGATGCCTTGCTCATCTGACAGCTGAGAGGGCCACCTGCCTAAAGCTGTTGGCACTACATTCCCAGTTTGGTACCCTGCTGCCCTTGTTCATCCTGTCCTTCCCCCTCGCCGTCCCCTAGCTGAACCCTTGCCAGAGTGGAGCCTGCTTCCTTCCATTCCAGCCAGCAAGCAACCTCCCCCAACATTCTGAGAGGTAGGATTTATCCTGTTTTCCCCTAGTGGCAGCAGAGGGTAAGGGCTAGAGGGACTCTAACAGTTGCCTTGAGCCCAAAGTTTCACAGAACAAGAGACAAATGAAAGATGTGTACTGAAAGAGCCAATCCTCAGACCCTGAGACTGGGGGTCTAACAGGCCACAGGTACCCAGGGCTTCCCACAGCCTCTCAGGCTACCTGGTGGAAACACTGCAGCTATTGGCTGGCTGATCTCATTTCCTGTCCCTCCCAACTTTGGCTGGCAGAGTGGGCTTTGCCATGCCTTCTGCCATCTTCCCCTCCTCACTTCTGCCTTGTTGAGTTCCCCCCTTATCCTTGTCCTGGGCCTCTTCAACAGTTTGAGCAGTTGTGGGAGTGGAAAACTGACTCTGCTTCCTTAGTAATCATTAGATAAATAACTGCTAGATAACCTAGTAACTCTCTCCCTCCCCTATTTTTTTCTTTCCCCAGCAAACTCAGGCACCAGGCACAGAGTGAGCGGTATGGATATAAAGAGGTAACATGAGCTTTCTCTACAACATGCATGTATCCCAAAACCTTTGTCCCCACGTCACTTTTGCTTGGGAAATTAGTACCCAAAGTGAACATAAAAGGAGGCGGACTCTGGAGGCAAAGGACTGGGATTCAAATCCTACCTTTGATGCTGATTACCTGTGCGACTGTGGAGGTCACTTAACCTCCCTAGGCCTCAGTTTCCTCACCTGTAAAATGAGAGGCTTAGATGAAATAGGCTCTAACATCCCTTTGAGATTTAGGTCAGGAATCCTATGGATCTGAAACTTGAAATCTCCACAGCCTGTCACACTTATGGCTTGCTGTTAGGCAGCCTCGGTGTACCCCGGAGGTGAAATTCCTCTTCAGCCATTTCCATCTGACATGAGAAGCTTGGAACTGAAGCCATTACCTGTTGATGAGAAGGAGAGGCAAAGGGATTCTACTGTCTGGGAGCGCAGCCCCTTTCAGAGGACCACTTTCCCCATCTATATCTTCATGGAACCCTGTGATTTAATCATCAACAAGCATTTATTATGCACCTTATTATGTGGTCAGGCACTATGTTAAGTGCTTGGGATACAAATAAAGGCAAACACGGTCTTTGCCCTGAAAGAGCTCGTGTTCTAATGGGAAGACAACATCAAATAGCTGTGTGCAAACAATACATATAGTGTAAAGGGGAGATCATCTCAGAGGAAAGGTTCTAGAATGTGGGTGGGGGAACAGGATTGGGAAAGGGCTTTTGCAGTAGGTAGGATATGAGCCAAGTCTCAGCCAGGAAACCAAAACAAGGGGGGAAGGCATGGACTCTCTGTGAAAAGACCAATTTTGGAAGATGGAGTGTCATATTCAAAGAACAGCAAGGAGGTTACCACAGCATTACTGGAGAGTATACTCAGGGAGGAGAAAAATGGAAGAAGACTGGAAAAAGGGCCAGGTTATGAAGGGTTTTAAAAGCCAGACCTAACAGTTCTTTTCTTCCTTTCAGGTGGTGCTAAAAGGTGATGCCAAAAAGTTACATTTATATGGGGTGAGTGTATCAGGGAGGGGGAAGGATAGTGCTAATTTGGATGGAGTTAGAACCATTATTTATTCCCTTTTGTCCCTGAATCTGTGAGGCGGGGAAGAGGCAGGGGATTTTCTCTCACCCCTTTTAAAGACAGACAAAAGAAATTCCTTCATATTTCTTCCAATACTTCAAAAGCTTAGCTGTGATCTGTATGAGTATTCTTTCCATTAGATTACATGCCCTCTGTGCCTAATTTCAGGCCGCTAGGTAGCACAGTGAATAGAATGCTGGGCCTGAAGTCAGGAAGACTCATCTTCCTAAGTTCAAATTTGGCCTCAGATACTAGCTGTGTAAGCCTGGGCAAGTCACTTAACCATGTTGGCCTCAGTTTCCTCATCTATAAAATGAGTGGGAGAAGGGAATGGCAAACCCTTCCAGTATCTTTGCCAAGAAAACCCCAAATGGAGTCACAAAGAGTTGGACCTGACTGAAAAATGACAGAACATGCCTAGTTTCATGAATTGTTCTGATGGGGAAAAAGTCATTCATCACCTGGTGACCAGTTTTCTGGTGATCAGTCTTCGTCCATTAAACTAGAATGGTCCATCACCAAGCTCCCCTTTCTAACTTGGTAGAAACTGCCCAGTCTTTTGAGCTCCATTTGGCATAGCCTTAGAGAACAGAGTCACTTTCACATCATCATGGAAGCATCAGAATAGCACTTGATTGGAGATATTACTTCATTTGTTCAACTCAACAAATAACATATTTAGTAACTGCCATATGCAAGGCCAAGTACAAAGGCCAAAATGAAACAGTGTCTTTCTTCAAGGAGTTTACATTCTCTTTTCTACATTACATATAGTGCAATGTGGTGAGAGTGACACAGTCTAGATAAGACAGTCTCTGACCTCAGGGAGCTTACAGTCTAGTAGATTCTGCCTAGTTCAAAACAGTAGGTAAATTTATTGAATTCATTTCATGATACTATTGGAAATAGAAATTAATTCTAAAAGGGTTTTTTGTTTGTTTTTCAGCAGATTTATGGATAACAGAGCCGTTAAAAGCTACAAAAAAAGCTGTGCTATATACCTTATGTTTAAGGTTTAAAGCCTTAGCTGTGCTACATCCTTGGAGGCTTTTTTTGTTTTTCAGTAGAATACTGAGCTAGAACATGAGGTAGTAGAAAGATCTGCACTCAGTGGCCCTGGGTTTGAATCCCAGATCACCATTTACCACTATGTATGTAATTTTGGGCATGTTATTTCAATTCTCTGGGGCTCAGTTTCCTCATCTATAAAATGAGGAAGTTAGGTTAAGTGACCTCTAACCCCCCCTTCCAGCTCTAAATCTATGACTATGGATCAAACACAACATGACAATTCCTGCTCCCGCCACTATCATTTCCCTCAGACCAATCCTTCTCCCCCATCTGATCCCTCACCTTAGATACTCTCCCCTGGCTAACCCATTGCTGTCTCTTTCCTTCTCCATCTCACCAGGAAAACCATAGGCCAGGTTATTCCTGTACCTATTGCATATGCACACATACCATTGACTCTAAATTACTGTTTCCAAATCAATACATCTGTTTACCCACTTTAAGTCACTCTGAAGAAGTTCATAGTTTGCTGAAACATTCTCTTTTGGCCATTTTTTTCCCCTTGGAAGGTAGGCGGTGGTAGAGGAAAGATGAATGATCTGTGTGTCTATAAACAATGTACACACAGAGTTCTTTAGGGAGTAGGAGGTGTAACTAGACAGATGGCTGAACAGACAGGACTTCCCCTCACCCCATTCTCTCTTCTCAGTGTGTTCTACTTTGTACTAGCAGTGAACAATCTCTTCTCCCTTGGCCTCAGTTTCCTCACATGTAAAATAAGAGGGTTAGGTTAAATAGTCCCCAAGGTCTCTTCAGGCTCTGAAACCTATGATCCTAAGTTCACAGATAAGTCTTAAACTACAAAGGGTGAGGGTGTACTCTTCCAAAAGGTGAGACTAATATGTCCTTAGGCTATACATCTGACCTCTGTCCCTTATCCCTCCAGGGTAAGTTCAGTAGTTTCCTAGTTGGGGGTGGGGTGCAGGCAGTGGAGCAGGGAATAAAATGCTCTAAGTTTGGGCTGAGTGGAATCTAAAAACTCTCATTCTCCTCTCCCCCTCTGTCCACAGCAGACTTGTGCTGTCTGCCTAGAAGACTTCAAGGGGAAGGATGAGCTTGGTGTGCTACCTTGTCAACACGCTTTCCACAGGAAGTGAGTCATCACTATGGGGACCTCTGGGGGTATGGGAGGGGGGTGCCTATTTAGCCAGGATAGACATAGTGCTTCCCAAGCACCCCCCCTATTTTCCTCCCCACTGAGATGGAGGATGGAAGACAATGAGGAAACCTGTTTCTCCTACAGTGCTCTTGGCGCTGCCTCTGCTTGGTCTGGGATCACTGCCATGCCAGGCAGTCCTGATGGTGGGGAGGGACCAGGAGGACTAGGGCTAGTGTTCTGATACATCCATAGTGTTATGACATGGGGTCAGGAGACATGGGTTCGAACCTTAGCTCTGCCACTTACTATCTGTATGATCCTCGGCAAGTCAAATAAATACTTGTATTCTGTGTAATAGATATAATCCAGGAACTACCTATTCCATAGGTCCCTTTCAGGGAAAGTACTTTGGAAACCTTAAAGGACAACAGAAATGTTAATAAATAACAATAATTAATATTTTTTGCTGGATTTTTTGCAGGGCCATGCTGGGAGGCTGGGCCTGGTAGAGAGGAGGGTAGTAGCAGGAAAGAGGAATGGTGGGATGAGGGTGGAAGTTACTAAGCTAAGAAGTGAAAGAAACCTGTGTCTATACCTGCAGGTGTCTGGTGAAGTGGCTGGAAGTCCGTTGCGTCTGCCCCATGTGCAATAAACCCATCGCTGGCCCCCCAGAGGCCACTCAGAGTATTGGCACCCTCCTGGATGAACTGGTCTGAATACCACCTTTTCCCTAGGACTCGGACACTTAAATGCCAAGTGCCTGCCTGGTCGATTCTTAAACTGCATAGCCCACAGTGTGGCAGGTGCTCCTTGGAGGCTATCCCTTTGGCTAGAAAGAGAACAGGCAAGCTGGTCCTTGCCCTTCCTTAAGAGGGGGTGAAGTCCAGAGTCTCCTTCTCCTCTTCTCTCCCCTCTCCAGTACTCTGACATCTCCTTCCCTACTCCTCTGCCTTGTTGGTGTCACTCACAGGTCAGGGCTGCTGTGGTACTGGACCTTCTGCTTTGTCCCTTGCTGTAGAGAAATTAGTCATCTCCTGACACAATGAAAGGTATAGGTCTGAGCTAAAAAGGACTAGGGGTCATCAGGGAAATCAAGGCCTATTACTGTTCAGGGTGACCAGGACTGGGCAAGTCACTTACCCCACCCAGGCAAGAACTTCTTCATTAGATTCTCACAGTTGCTCCCTGATGTGTGTATGGGGAAGGAAGACAGAAAGAAGCAATGAGGAGGAAGGGATAAGTCAGGCCCTGTCCCCTCATTGTTAATTCTCCCTCCCCCTTTCCCCACCTACCTTCAAGCAGGTGTCTGGATGAAAGAAGGGATAGAAGGAGTAAGGCCCAGGTTGGGAGGCAGGGATGGGGGGTAGTAGATAACAGAGGAGTTCTGCCTATGGCAGAGATGGTGGAGGGCCAGTAGGCCACCTCCATACTTTTTAAAAAAAAATTAATGTTTACATTGGACCTTCAGAAACAGCAGCTGGCTAGCTGAACTGACAAAATGTAGGAGCAAGCACCCTGCCCAGAGCTGGGATCTGTGGTGCCACCAGCTTCTTAACCTGCCCTTTTCCTACTTCCTTTAGTTACTGCTAGAGCTCCTCTTCCCACCCTCCTGGGTCCTGAAGGGTTCGGTGCATCTCCCCACAGAAGATGCATTCCCTACAACTAGGGTGATTTCCCTGGGGACAGATGAAAGTTGGTGTTTCCTGAAAGGAGAAAGGGGGGACAGGGGTACAGTGCTGAGCAGGAGAGGAGTCTAGAAACCTTGGTGGGACCAGATGCCCTTTTCTTCTTTGTAAATAGTATTTTTATACCTTAGTCTCCTCACCGTCTCAGGCTTTGTACATGGGACACTTGGGGAGTCCCATTTCTCCCCATAGTGGGTGGGAGGGTGGGAAGAAGGGCGTATGCAAAAAAAATAAATAAATAAAACAAATTGTCTAACTCTGTTGTTGCTGTAGATGTGGTCAGAGCCCATTGGGAGGAGCCAGAATTTTAACTCCTCTGATGATAATTAAGGAAAGACAAAGGCACCCCTTCATTTTAGAATTGTCTTCATAAAATAAATTATGCTATTACCACTAGGGTCACCTATGTACACTAGAACAAGACTATCACCAACATCCAATAAGAATTCATAGACATGAAAGATCCATATATATTGCCTTGTCTTAGAGAAGAACATTGGATTTGGAAGTCAGAAAAATTGAGTGTGAGTTCTATCACTTACTATAATTTGGGCAAGTCACTTAACTGCTCTGATCAATTCATTCCACCATCTCTGGTCCCAGCCCCTCAATACCTGGACAGTCACTAACAGAGTCCATCTTGGGGGACAGGCCCCAAATTACTTCCACTCAAGTTGTCCCTAATATGATTTGCTTCTGGGAGATATCAGAATATAGCTCATGTCTAGGTCACCACAGATGTGGGGAAGAGATGCTATGTAATCACTCAAGATTACAATGGAGACAGGATGAACTTTCCTCCACTGTACAGAAAATGCAAAAATAAAATAACTCAGAATAGCCCAGAAATAATTTTTCTTTGCTAGTAAGTCCTGACTTTCCCTAGGATCCTAAAGTCCAGAAGCAGGGTGGTGCAGTGGGGAATTCACTGGTTTTGGAGTCAGAAGACAAGTTCAAATCCCCCTTTTTTTTTTAAAACATATGTAACCTAATAGAGGCCTCAGTTTCCTCATTTGCAAAATAAGGGCACTGGATTAGATGACCTCTAAGGTCTCTTCCAGCTCAAAATCTAAGGTCCTCCAGAATGAGCACTACCCTATAGTTTGAACTCTTCAGAGGGGAAAAGAATTTGGAAGTTATCTAAGGAGGTTAATACCTCCTATTCCAGTGACTCCCAATTTTGATCTTAGGGACCTATCTGGTCTTGGCATAGCACTATTAGCATTCATACTGCCCTCTGAAAGGAAATAAACAGGGTTTTGAGAGAAATGGGGGTTATCCCCCATCCCCTTAGACTTGCACTATTCAAATAGCCCAAATTCATAATTTCAGTGGGCAAATTTCAGGGTTTTTTTTTGCTTCCCCAAATCATGGTTTAGAAAACTGCTCTGCCCATTTAGGTGGGGTCTCACTTGTAATTTCTCTACAAGAGGCTGGTGCTGCCCAGGAATACCCTTTGTCTCAGTAATAGTCTCACTTGTCGAACTTTCAGACTTGGGCTTGCTACTGGTATAAACCCCTAAGGCTGGAAGAGCCACAGAAAATTCTCTTTTATCACTAGGATGGCAAAAGTGGCCCATTTGCTGTTTTACAAACAGTATTATAGAGCTAGTCCTCGTGCCTTTGAACAGGCTATGCTTCCCTCGTGCCTGGAATGCATTCCTTCCTCATCTCTGCTTCTTAGAACTCCTAATATCTTTTGTTAAACTCAGCTCAAAGGTCATCTCATTTATAAAACCTTTCCTGATTCCAACTGAATTTTTAAGCCTAACACATTGGTAAGAAAAAGGGAAGCAATAAGGATGGAAGCTGTTGAGGATGGGGTGGGGAGGAGAGGGAGAGGGGATGGGGGAGAAGGGGGGGAAAAGAGAGAGAGAGAGAGAAAGGATGGATCTGGAGTTCTTCCCCACTCAGATCCCAATGTTCTCCCTCTCCAAGATGCCTATGCCACAGCCTCCCCAAGACTGGGACCAAGGCTTTGGAATAATAATGGCTAACATTTATTTAGCACTTTAAAGCAAAGCACTTTATGTTATTTCATTTGATCCTCACAACAACCCTGTGACAATTATCCCCATTTTACAGAAGAAGGAAGAAATGGAGAATGATAGAGGTTAAGTGACTGGCCAGGGTTATACACAGTAAGTGTCTGAATCAGGATTTGAACTCAGGGCTTTCTAACTCCAAGTCCAACTTGCACTATTCACTATACCATGTAGTGGCACTCTACTGGGTTGGGGGTAGGGTGCAGCATGATCACATACACCAAGTTTCCTTGTGTTTCTGCCCTAAGGGGCCATTTTTGTAACCAAGATTCAGTCATGCTTTGATCTGTCCTAGGAAAGGAGGGGAAAAAAAAGTAAAAGGGATAAAGGACTGAGTCTACCATTGAAGACTTCTTTTTATAAGTCAGTCAAAGGGATCCCATTGGAGGCAACCAATTCATACTGAGACAGCCTCCAGGAGGCCTAAGAAGCATTTCCATACCATCTATCAGAAGATAAGATTAAAAATTTCAAAGGCCACACCACTGTGGTTAATAAGCTCAGTCAATTGATCAAGAACTTCTGTCAATCCTCCAAATTCACAGTTAGTAAGCACCTATTCTCTGAGCTGGGGGAGATAAAGTAAGATCCAGTTCTCTGCCCTCACCAAACTTATAGTGTAGAAGGAAGATATATATAGACAAATATCATGTAATAATGTGCCTTTTTTCCCTTTTGTACCAGGATTGTTCTCTAATAGATTCAGGAGACCCTATTGTTAAATTTCCAGTAGGAGCATTTATACTTTTGAAATTGGCAAATGCCACAAATCACAGCTTGATTTAATGTTTTATGGATCATATAGACTGAAGAAAGTGATAGAAAAACTGTTAAAAATGCAGATTAAACTTAAAACTGTGTCATGAAGAGCTGGTTGTTAAACCTTTACCAGCACACTGCTGTCTGGTACAGAACTGTGATTTCCTCTGTGCTGGGAACTCTGTGTGTAGAAATCCCCCCCTCACTTCCTCAGTATGTGAACTTCCCTCCTCCTCATGCAGATCTGCAGCTGATCTATAACTGAGAAGCTAAGTGACTTGTTTTGGGTCACGCAGCTAGTGCATGTCAGAAGCAGGTCTTTCTGACTCCAAGAACAGCCCTCTAGCCTCCACACCATGCCACTTATTGACATGTGCATTAGAGAACAACAGGGGAAAAGAGTTATATGAAGTTCAAGGGGAAAATGGATCAGGAAGATAGGTGCTTTAAAGGTGAGAGTAGGAATTCAGCAAATAACCAGGAGAAAACATGAACACAGGGAAAGCGTTTTGAACACAGGATATGTGCTGGGAGATGGAGGGGAAATGGGAGAGGATCCAGTTTAGATGGAGCATTGAGTACACAGAGGACCACAGTATAAAACAGAGCTGAAAGGAAACAAAAGGGATCCTTTCAGAGAAACCTGGGAAGACTTGTATCAACTGACACCAGGGAAGTGAGCAGAATGAGAACAATGTAGACAATGAGAGCAACATTGTGAAGACAAACAATTTGAGCTTAAGACCTATAATCAATTTCAATGACAATCCATGATTCCAAAGGACCAATAAGGAAATATGCTACCTACCTCTTGACAGAGACTCAAAATGGACTCAAAATGTAAAATGAGACATACAATTTTTTTTGCTTGATTGTGCATATTGATTAAAATGATCTTTTTTCTTTTTCTCAATAGGAGGTGAGAGAGAGAAAAAAGTTTGCGCGTTTAAAGTAAGACTTTTTTTTAATGCTGGAGAGAAAAAGATGGGAATAAGCATTTATTATGCACCTACTATGTGCCAGGCACTGTGCTAAATGTTTTACAAACATTTCATTTGACTCTCACAACAATCCTGTGAGGTAGGTGCTTATTATTATCTCTATTTTACAGTTGAGGAAACTGAGGCAGACTGATGTTAAATGGCATGCCCAAGGTCACACAGACTAATAAATGTGACTTCAGTCTGCCTAACTTCAGGCCCAGCCCTTTATCTATTGTGACACCTAACTTCCTCAGTTTCCTCATCCTAAAGTGAAACTAATGAAATTTGCTCTGCTTCTCTCAGAGAGAGGATATATGTGCTCACACTAAAACCTGTAAATATAAAGAATTGATGTTAATTTTTCCAATTCCCCAGAGAAAGGCTAAGATAATAGGACAGCCACAGATAAGAAAACAGGCACAGATTAGTGAAGTGATTTTCTGGAGGTCACAAAGGCTAGTCATTAGTGAAGCCTGGACAGAAATTCTGGCTTGCATAACTTTAATACTTTGCCATCTAAATACTCCAGGTGAAGGAAGAGAACAGGGAATTAAGAACCTCTAAGGTTTGAGATTCCAAACTGCCAAAAGATTCTCCTCTCTCCTAACTCTTACGTATCTCCTTTCTCACTGGCTGGTCTGTAACCTACCCTTAGAGCATCACCAAACCAACCCAGAAAGCCTTGGAACGTCTCAATACTTTCCTTCCAAGTTGCTTCATTCCTCCCAGGGACTAAATATCTATGACATTCTACAAATATCCTTTAATCAACCAATCCATCTGAGAATGTCCACAAAATTCTGAGAAATCATTTATTTCTTCTATGAACATGTTATGGTAGTACTAATATTTTTTTTTGAGAATTTGGAGAGGGTAGGTCTCTTCAATGACTGGGAAGGGGATGCATGTGATTTCTCTCATAATTAACTAGTGTTTATATATAGACATTTGCAGTTTACAAAGTGCTGCAAATATATTATTCTACTTTGATTGTTAACTACCCTGTGAGGCAGGTAGTGCATATATTATTTTCTGTATTTGCAGCAAAGGAAACTAAAGCACAGTGTAAGTTGACTTCTTCAAGGTAACAAAACTAATTGCATTAAAGCTTGAACAGGAATTCAGGTCTTCTGTCTCCAGTTCTAAGGTTATTTCCACTACACCACAGTTGTCCTGACTTACTAATGAAATCATTTGGCACCATCCTTCCTTACTTCCTTTCCCCTGCCATTCCTACATCTGAAGCCCCACCACCCCTTTGCCTTCCTGATTGCCACTCCATTTTCTTCTGCTCTCACAGGGCCACTCATCTCCTAGTTAGCTCTGACTGAGCCTCTCCTTCCCTGCCTCCTTCTATCTCCACTTGAGTCCTCTTCTGTTTGCAGTTGGGTGGATGCACAGTAGCATCA